GCGCAGTCCGCATGACGTACGGAACCAGTATTTTCAATTTTTGCGCCGAGTCACGATAGGCAGGAGTTTGTTAAGTGTCGAGATCTAAAACTGTTCAGCTACAGAACTAAATTCATCAGCCGATTTTGTGTCTTTATTTTAATGATTCATTTATTGAGAGAGGACAGTATCGATTTCTTAATGCTGAAAAGCGGATCTGATATATCAAACGTGCTGGAATGAGAGTTAAAATCCTGGCATAAGCAACGGAGTGGGTCGTGCAATTCAAAATTTGTTTTACAAGCTTTCAGAAATAGGGGGCAAAAGTGTCTTGATACCCGGGAGGGAACATTAAGGCTAACTTCGCCAAGAAGAAGCGGACTTGAAATTGAGCCTGTTAGTAATTTAACTATAACAAGTAAGAAAGTCTAAGTTCGGGCGGGGCCGAACATTAAATACCCGGCGCAAGTATTACATATATGCCTTTTTACCTTTCCGAAACCTTCCGCTAGATGGTAAGCCGGGGTGTATCAATTTTGAATAAATTAGCATCCTTAAATTTCGAGATATTGACGTTTCGAGCTTTTCTAAAATTTACCGTTATATGAAAAGCCGTGATTTTAGTCCGATTTCAATAATTTCGAACGTTTTGCTTTTATGTGGCAAGCACAATAAAAATACCGAGTTTGGTACAAATTGGTAGAACGGTTACCGAGATACATATATGTGATCATAAGTGGGCGGTGCCACGCCCATTTTCCAAAATTTTATGATAAGCGTATTTCCTGATAAAGAATTGTTGCAAGCATCAATTCTGAATAAATTAGCTTCAATATTTACGGATTTATTGAAGATTTCGTATTTCTCCAAATTACCGTTATATGGGATGTGGGCGTGGTTATTGTCCCCTTTTTAAAATTTTCGGCCATTTGGTATCCTGTACCAAGGCCAATAACTGTGCCAAGTTTGGAAGAAATCGGTGCAGCGGTTGCCAAGATATACACATGTAACATTAAGTGGGCGTGGCTACGCCCATTTTTCAAAAATTTATAATATTCTTATTTTTCGTCTAAAAGTTATTGCAAATATCAATTTTGAGTGAATAATCTTCAGTAGTTACTAAAATATCGCAGTTTTCGTATTTCTGAAAATTACCGTTATATGGGAGGTAGGCGTGGTTATTGTCCGATTTTGCCCATTTTCAATACCATCCGTCCTACGCCCGAAAGAAGTACACGTGCCAAGTTACGTTAAGATATCTTAATTTTTACTCGAGTTATCGTGTGCACAGACGGACAGACGGACGGACGGACGGACGGACGGACGGACGGACGGACAGACAGTCACCGCTTAATCGATTTCTCTTTTCATCCTGATCATTTATGTATACATTTGTCTATATCTATCTCGATTCGTTTTGCCTGTTACAAACAACCGTTATGTGAACAAAGTTATAATACCCTTGTGCACAAGTGCGCTCGGGTATAAAAATTGTACCAAGCATTTGCCTGCGGCTGGAAAGTGTAGGAAGATTAATAAGTTTTAATCGGCTCGTATAAGGTGGAAGGTTATATTGAGAATCCCAACGGAAATTTCTTAAAGCAAAAAGTAGGAATTGTTTTTGAATTGATTCTATCTTGTATGAGTAAATTTGATACCTTGGATTCCAAACCACCGAACCGTATTCCAGAATTGGCCTAACTAATGTTGTAAACAGGGTTTTAGTGATTTAATGGGTCTCAAAATTCTTTTGACCATCGTTTCACAAATGCAAGTACACCTTTAGCCTTGTTGATTTTCACATTAATATGAAGATTAAAATTAAGCTTAGGATCCATTGTGATACCAAGGTCCACAAAATTGTATACCTGTTCCAGGTTAAGGTTACCTATTGTATAAGAAGTGGGATGAACAGCTCTTCGCGAGAAGCTCATTACTTTACATTTCTTAAGATTTAGAGGCATAAGATTTACTTGACACCAGTAAGCCATGCTGTCTAAGTCTGATTGTAGAAAAGACCTTTCTTCAATTGAAGCGTACGATTTATAAAGCTTTACATCATCTGCATACATTAAAATTTTAGAAAATTGTATATCTGTAGAAATATCGTTTATAAAAAGCAAGAACAGAACCGGGCCTAGGTGGCTACCTTGAGGGACTCCTGAAGTAACATCAATGACGTCAGAGATAGTATTTTTAAACATTACCTTTTGTGATCTATCACAGAGGTATGAAGAGATCCAACGTAGAAAATTAGGTGGAAGACCAAGAATATCAAGTTTGTAGATAAGCAACGAGTGGCACACTTTGTCAAATGCTTTACTGAAGTCAGTATACATAACATCAACAGTTTTGCTTTCACTAAATGCTTTTGAGATATAGGATGGTAATTCGAGTAAATTTGTAGAAGTTGATTTACCCTTGCAAAATCCATGTTGACTATATGAAATGCTAGAAGAGATAGAATGCATCAACTGATTTGTTATAATTGCTTCAAATAATTTAGGAATTGCAGAAAGCTTAGCTATTCCCCGATGAAGACAAAAAAAGGCAAAAGTGAAGATAAAGACGAAAATTGAGATAAAGGCGAAAATGGATACAATGCTAACAGAGCTGAAATTTTCCAATAGGAATCGAAATAAAATCAGCCATAAAGCTTACTGAAATTTATCGAATCATCGAAGTTAGTTATCGCAACGTATCGAATTATTCAAACTGATCAATTTTTACTGAGTTGTCGAAATTTATAGACACAGGAACTAAGTTGTCCAAATTTACGGATAGTTATCGAGCTATAAAAACGTGTGGGATTAACGAAATTTGTCAAGTTAAAGAAATGTATCAAGTTATCGATATTTATTGAATTATCATTATTTATAGACTTAACGAAATATATCGAGGTGTCGTAATGCATGGAGTTCTTTCAACTTACAGAGATATCGATAATTATTGATCGACTGAAATTGGTTGGTTCAACGAAGCGAAGTTTATGGAATTTTCAAAATATATCGATTTATCGAAATTTCAAGGTTATATAAGTTTATCGATTTATCACTGTTTATCGCATTTAATCGTCTTAACAGAGTGTAACGAGTTATCAAAATGTTTAGATAGTTTTCGAAAAATATGGAGATGTCAAAAGTAAAAATTTATAAAGGTATCCAAAGTTTTTAAATTTTTGAGTTATCTAAATTTATCGAGCCATCGAATTTCACAGTTATCGAAATTGGTCGAGTTAACGAATTTTGTTGAGTTATCGAATTTTGTGTTCTTGAAATTCATCGAACTATCGATATGTATCAAATCATTGAAATTTATCGATAAACTTGAATGTATCGGGTCAATTCCAAGTCCTGCCGAAGTCCTCCAAAGACCTTCTCAGATAAAAAAAAATTTAGTTACGTTTTAGCAGAAGATTTTTCGGTTAGTTAATTTGTACCGTATAAGTTTTGCTGCGTGTTAAGTTAGAAATCCTCTCCAAGGCTTCTAAAACTAGAAAAACTGTCGAATTTCGACAGTAACTGGCACTCTAGTAACGATTATTTTCCGAGCAAAAAATAAAACTTAAAATGTAACGATTATTTTCCGAGCAAAAAATAAAACTTAAAACGTAACCATTATTTTCCGAGCCAAAAATAAAACTTAAAACGCAACCATTATTTTCCGAGCGAAAAATAAAACTTAAAACGTAACCATTATTTTCCGAGCAAAAAATAAAACTTAAAACGTAACCATTATTTTCCGAGCAAAAAATAAAACTCAGTTAATAACGATTAAAAAGTGATTTTTATAATAAAACTTATAACCTTTACGGGCCATGGTTTTCACTTATTTGACGACAAATGCAACTGAATTTGACATAGTGAAAACCAGCCTTAAGTCAAAAATGATGTTTCCCTTCCGTCAGTTTTCATAGAAAATTCAAATAAAACATAATTTGCCTGTAATAAAATACACGTAAAAATAGACATATTAAAAATAAAATAAAAATAATACGAAATACGATTATCTGCTAATTGAACGGCGTTGCCACAAATCGTTAGCAAACAGCCTTAAGGAAATCGCATTAGCAAACAAAATACGGCGTATACTGTCGATGAGTAAATACAATTCGTAAAATAGTTTTTAGCAACGAGATATCTAATTTTTTTTTTCTTGCCAACACCCGGAACATTTCATGTCCCGGTATATGTTGTACCGGGACCGGGACATAACTCTAAAATTCGGGACAGTTCCGCTGAAAACGGGACGGTTGGCAACCGTGGCCGTAAGGTACATTCCTTGCAGGGAAATCTACTAGTTGTGAACTAAAAAGATACCAGTTTATTTTTCAGTCCAACTAGTTCACGTTATATCCCTTTTCAATGTTACCGACTGGTATTTTTAACATGGCGGTGTCATAGGAGATGTCAATTGTCGGCCCCTGCATCAGCACCCTACCAGTTGACGGGATACACTGCCAATTCATCCCCCGTAAAAAGCATAACTATGCAATTTTACTCGCGGCGCTGTAAAGAGACACGAGTTAGAATCTCAAAGGTTATTTAATTTTTTTTTATGTATTTGATTTTTTATTTACTCATGTTTTTGTTGTAATTAAAAAAAAAAAAAAATTTAATTTAATTTTTATATATGTTATAGGTCCCCCGAAATCCCCAGTGAATGCAATGGGGGACAAATTAAAAATCTTTGGTATATAAATAAGTCTCCTGAAGATAACCAGAGTTTTCCGATCGAAAAATATTGATTTTCAAGAACTCTACACCATCTCTACGAAAAGATGTTTTTTCCGCATATAAAATACATGGAAAATTTTAAGCTCTTGTGCGCCCTCTAAATATTTTTTGATTTCAAAATAAAAAATAGTGGTATATTTTTTCGGTAAAGAACAAACGCAAAGGGTGGCGACATTAAAATTCCGACTTTACTTTTTTTTGGACCACCCTAGTATATACATAATAATACAATTTCATTCATTCCTTGCCTTTTAGTCATACAATTTGTTTGTTTAATTTTTTCAGGGTACGAAATTGGGCGCTTAAATTTGGTGTGGATCTTTGGGAGTTCGGACGGCAATTTACAAAAATGAATGAAATAAAAAATGTAAGTAAAACATTCGTATTGAAGTCACAATTATTATTACTACCATTAGCCCAGTGAGCCTGTCACAAGATTTAGTTGTACCCATGGTACAGTTATTACAGGTATTGTCTTCCCAGAGAGTTTTGCTTCGCATCGAAATTCGTGCTCCCTTATATTTATTTTGACGCATTTCAATGTTGATTCTCTTACGGTAAGTTGGCTTCATGATACAAAAAAGAAGGTAGTTTAAATAAACAAAATTTGATGTATAATATAAATTTTTGAAGTTTCATAAATTGTGAGTATTATCAACGATCTTGCCTCTATTGAAACAAAAACTCCATTTATTTATGCCAACGTAATAATATTTCAAATCATTACCAGTGCATTGTATTTTTTTTTACTTACGTGGTTCGCACCTTTTTACAACGCTTTTATCAACTTGCAATGTTGTATGTCCAGACCACCATTTGCTATAAATAAAGCAAAGGTATTTATGGCAAACCTAGTCTAGATATCAACCTCGTCGAAGGTATCATATCAAAGACATACAATTAGAAAACCTCTGGAGATAGATGTCGCCTCGCCAGAAGAAGTTAAAAATATGCACTACATACGCTACAGCGGAAATAGACGAGCCGCCATTTCTTTAAATGAAATTAATTGCTGCTATATGTATGTATGTGCGTATGTAGGCATATACTAAATGTGAGCAAACAACATTTTGCTTGCATAGTGTTCTGTTCTCTTTTCGCTGCAAGTTGAATTAGTTTAGTATCTATTGCAAAATTGTATACAGACAAGACTAAAACGTATAAAATAAATTTAAAAAAAAGGCGTGAGTACTAGGTACTCATGAAATTTGATGTGTATACATATGCGAACGGCAAAGCATAAAAGTACGTTTACATATAACTATAATCTCAATCAAAGCTCGTTAGCTGTCAAATTGGTTGTGCTTGTTATTCACACAACTCGAGGAAAAGTTAAACTTCTTCTCTGTGCCACCGAGGTCACTTTTTTTTTGCAACACATATTAGGCCATTTAAATATATTTTAACTGAATATTTTATTAAAATACCTTTACAAACCTATTTTCCTTACTAGCGTCAATTTTTGTTTACTTTAACATTTGACATTCATATGCCCACATACATACATATGTTACTTTTCATATCAATTTAAGTGTATTACATGCGCTCCACCTTTTTCGTTTTCAATGACAATTATTGTTTATAATGACTTTTGCTAAAATTGCAAAATCAAAAGTTATCAAAACAAATTCCGTGGGACTGGGAAATATTATTTTCTACTTTTTAGTCCATTTATAAAAGCGTTGTATATTAAAAGGTTTTTTTTAATTTTATTTATTTATTAAAAAATACAATTACAATGTATGAGTGAAACTTGTTTATATGGAGGGAAATGGGTAGAACCGTCAAAAAAAAATTATTCAAAATCAACGCGATTTCTGAGCCATATAATATTTACACATTATTATACTAAATTTGAGTGGGCTAGAAAACTGCGTTGAATTCAATCTGATGGAAAAGTTGAAGAGTTTGGTGAAAATTCGTTGAATTTGCTTTAATTTTGTATAAAAATTGAAACGTTGGTTTATATGATTTTGTTTAAAGCATGCTCCATATTCTTATAAGAAAATAACATACAAATTTTAGATTGCAAAATATAGTGAGTATTTAAAAAAGATATGGTGTATCAAGACTTTTGGTGTTAAGCACATACATATGTATGTATAAAATGTAAACTGTTAAAGGAGGCTTCATCGTAATCGTTCTTTTTATTTTATAATAAAAACCACGAACGCATTTTGGTTATTCTTATACCCGAGCGCACTTGTGCACAAGGGTATATTAATTTTGTTCACATAACGGTTGTTTGTAACAGCCAAAACGAATCGAGATAGATATAGACAAATGTATACATAAATGATCAGGATGAAAAAAGAAATCGATTAAGCCATGTCTGTCTGTCCGTCCGTTTGTCCGTCTGTCCGTCCGTCCGTGTACACGATAACTCGAGCAAAAATTGAGATATCTCAACGAAATTTGGTAGGTAGGTTTCCCTTAATCCAAGGTAGGTTGGTATTTAAAATGGGCGAAATCGGACTGTAACCACGCCCACTTCCCATATAACGGTAATTTCCAGAAATACGAAAACTGCGATATTTTAGTAACTACTGAAGATTATTCACTCAAAATTGATATTTACAACAATTTTTAGACGAAAAATAAGAATATTATAAATTTTTGGAAAATGGGCGTAGCCACGCCCACTTATGGTTACATGTGTATATCTTCGTAACCGCTGCACCAATTTCTTCCAAACTTGGCACAGTTGTTGGCGTTGGTACACCATACCAAATGGCCAAAAATCTTTTAATTCGGACAATAACCACGCCCACATTCCATATAACGGTAGTTTAGAGAAATATAAAATCTTCGATAAATCAGTAAATATTGAAGCAAATTTATTCAAAATTGATGCTTGCAAAAACTTTTTACCAAGAAATACTTTTATGGTACAATTTTGGAAAATGGGCGTGGCACCGCCCACTTATGATCACATATATGTATATCGGTGACCGTTCTACCAATTTGTACCAAACTCGGTGTGGTTATTGTGCTTGCCACATGAAAGCAAAGCGTTGAAAATTATTGAAATCGGACTAAAATTTCGGCCGCTTTTCATATAACGGTAAATTTCAGAAATGCTTGAAACTTCAATATTTCGAAATTGAAGGACGCCAATTTACTCAAAATTGATACACCCCGGCTTACCATCTAGCGGTAGGTTTCGGAAAGGTGAAGAAACATATATTTAATACTTGCGCCGGGTATTTAATGGTCGGCTCCGCCCGAACTTAGACTTTCTTACTTGTTTTCATTTTATTATTTTGAATGCAATCCTGCGATCTAAAAATCTAATTCTAAAAAATGTTCTTCCAAATAAAACCTTTTTATTAATACTTCGCCCAGCGGTTGAAATTGAACCGCTAAAATTGAGGATAGTTTATGTAAGTTGAGTTGAGCTGAAATAACATTAGTTGGAATGGGTTAAGTGGAGGGAGTTTAGCTTAGTACTTAGCATAACATAACATACCATAGCATAAGATTAAATAACATAACATATGTAGCATAACACACCACAATATAACATCGCACATGTTTCAGTTGTATTTCCTTTTATCCCTATCACTTTCTTCCTCTCTATATTTGTCTCTATCGCTTTTAATGTTTATGTTTATCTTCACCTTCATGTTCATGTTCATGTTCATCTTCATTTCATCTTCATATTCACCTTCGTTTATATTTAAGTTTCTTTACTTTTATTCTAATCTTTGCCTTTATCCCTTTCTTCTTCTACATATTCAAAATTTACCTTCTTCCTTGCATGAATCTTAATCTTCTTTAATTCAGTATCAATCTTAAAGCATACATTTAGGAGGCATTTCCGCCCCAACCATGTACATGTACGGCATTAGTATTGGTGTGACTTTTGAATTGATTTTTTCGCTTTATGTTAAACTTATTTGAAATTTGTAAAATTGCCTGCACATCAGCATCTAAATACCTTTCTAATGATATATAACTGTTTATACCTTAGAGGTATAGTTTAGCCGCAAAAGGGGTGTAAAGGAAACATGATTGCCTATTTATATAATTGATTTTGGTCCAAATTTACTTTTAAATTTCTCAACAGATTTTGTAAAAAATTTGGCTTTGTGGTTAGCGTATCTCCAAAATTTCAAAAAAAATATTACTTCTGGTGATCAGGAGCATGAATTTGGTTAAATGTCATAATTTTATTAAAAGTCAAATGGTTAACAACAACAACGAATGTCATTAAATGAAACTAATTTCTTTTTTGCATAATGATTGGCTTTGCTTTTGGTTTTCGCTCAATTTATTTTCTATAATTTTTTAAAACAAAAGAAAAACCGTTTGAAATAAAGTGAGCAATAAAAATCATGAATTTGTTTGCTAAGCAAACGTTTATTTTTCGGTTTTTGCAAATTAAATAAGTTCTCTGCAAGAAGGTTTGTTTAAAAAAATACGTAAGCATTAGACCTCTGCATGAGTTGATGCAAAGTTCTAGCCGAACTGAGTACTGTAGATTTGAATATTCTACTTCATATACAAAACACTCAACGTTTGGAATGTTGTAAGTTATGAATATACATTTTGTTTTAAATTTTCTATCTTCAAATGGAAGAATGTGAACGAATGAATGAAAAACAGAGAACGTATATTTATAGAGAAGGTCCAAGAACGGATCAGCGTGGAAACTGTCAAATACCAACAAAACTGGCGAAGCGCATTTTAAGAGCGGCCAGCAAGAGACAATCGAATTTTAACAGAGCCCAGCCAGAAGCAAAATAAATTTAACAGAAATTGTCTCATCAAAGCAAATGCATTTTTTTCTTGTTAGACGCGAAATGCTGACGGCTTTTTACGTTTTTACAAAGCTTTTATTGTTCTTTAAATTGGTTAATTATTTAAAATAAATGCATGCATAGGTCGAAATATGTAATATGTACATATTGTGTACATGCATATGTATGCGAGAGATACAATTCTGTGAATCAAAAAAGTGAAAGTTATGCAAATATGTAATATGCAATTGGCAAATTCGTGGGTGATTTGCCGTCGGCATTTGAGTTGAAAAAATCGACTTTTACTTTTTTACCGATTCATATGGTAGATGCTACGCTATTTTCAACGCAACAAACCGCAGTTTTTTAGCTGCCTTAGTTTTTCCCCAAATTCACTTTAAAGATGGACACGTTGACCAAAAAACGCAAATGCGCACTGTTTGGTGTCGGCATTAAAAGCGAAGCAAATCGGTTTTTATATATTTAACGATTCTAATGGTAGTTTATAGACACGATATTTTCAATGCAACAAACTGCAGTTTTCTAGCTGCCTTAGTTTTCTCACAAATCCACTTCAAAAAAACGTACAAATGCATTGATTGCACGCACGAGTTAACTTCAAAGT